CTAGGAGAAGTTATCCAGCAGCATATATGCTCTAGGAGAAGTTATCCAGCAGCATATATGCTCTAGGAGAAGTTATCCAGCAGCATATATGCTCTTGTTGTTGTTGTTATGTGCCGTGGAGTCGGTTCCGACTCATAGCGACCCTATACAGGGTTTCCGAGGCTGTAAATCTTTACGGGAGCAGAAAGCCTCATCTTTCTCCCGCGGAACAGCTGGTAGTTTCGAACTGCCGACCTTGCGGTTTGCAGCCCGATTCGTAAGAACTTAAATGGGCTCAGTGCCTCAATTACCTCTTGTGTAAGGAAGAGCGATTAATACCAGCTTTGCTCCCCTCTCAAAAGTTGTGTGGCTATCAAATGAGGTCACATTCACTACAGTACTTTTAAAAACCAGAAATACAAGAGGAGTGTGGTGGGGAGAGGATAAGATTCCTGGTTATAAAAAGCAAACTGCAGTGATCACGAGCCAAAAGCCACTGGAGGACACACAGATCACCAGCAGATTGTCTCAGGAGCACCTGGATCATGGCCAAGGTGCACTGACCAATTAAACCAGCAGAGAGTTTCCCCAGCCAGCAAGGGAGGACCAGTGAAAAAGCAGAGGGGCCCAGGAGGTCCCCGAGCAGAGGGGCTGGTGGTCTGAGCCAAGACAGGGGCGCCTATCCTCAAAGAACTGACTTTGTTCCAGGTCGGGGACACCTGCCCTTGGGGACGCTCTAAGCCCCTCCGTCCCTGTCCCTGGCGGACCTCGGTCCTCTCCTCTCCTCTCCTCTCCAGGAGGAAAGACTGGGCATTAGGGGTAACACCGACGAAGGGTGCCTCCAGCCCTCACCTGCGGTGTCCCAGATGGAGATGTTGTAGGAGCGCCACTGCTTCAGGTAGAAGGCGCCTCCCACCGTGCTGACCGTGTCCTGGAAGCGTCGCTCCATGTACCTGTGAAGCAGGGACGTCTTACCCACGTTCATGTCCCCCAGGAGTACGATCTTCACGTCCGGTTTCTTCATTTTCCCCGCGGGAAAATCAGCTCGGCGACTCCGGTTCTCTGCAGACCCGCAGTCGTCGGGCAGCAGGGCCAGCGCGCAGGGCGCCGGGACGTTCGCCTCCCTACGCCCGGGTGGACGGAAGAGGAAGCGCGTTCCGAGCCGCCAGGGGCAGGAGCGAGAAAGCGAGCGGCGACGGCCCGCCCCCACTCTGGGCCACGTCGCCCGCCCCGCGCCCCCGCCCCAGGCCTCCTCGCTCCGCCGGGCGCGACCCTCGCCTGCCCGCGCCTGCCGCCCGTCCTCCTCCCTTCCGCAGAAGTTTGCTCTTTCGCAAGAATCCTAACTTCTTTTTTCACTCTGGAGCGGACCTTACCGGTAACTGGGACGGAGCAGAACTTTCTGTGCGGGAACTCTAAGGAACATTGACAAGACGCTGGGAATGGTCTGACGTAACACTTAGGATCCCTAAAGAACTGAAAAAGAAAGTTCCTGGGAAATTCAGACCGCTTCTCCCACGTACCCTGCCAAACCCTAGATCTGACTTGGGGAGTACAGAATCCGAAAGGAATGCTTTATCCTGCTGAGGAATAGCAGTTTGGAAAGGAGATTTTAGGGACCACAGAGGAGTCTGATCCCAGAGCGAGTAATGGGAAGCACCTCACTTTCTCTCTTTCACTCTTACTTAGGTCAAAATTTAAATTTTAAAAATTAATCTTTGTAGCGTGACATTGCAGAATAATGCATTGCAGGATAAAGTCGGTTTGAACTACAAGGTTGGCGGTTCAAGCTCACCAGCCGCTCCTCAGAAACCCTATAAGGGTCGGTATGATTCAGAACAGACTCTAAAGCGCTTAACAACAGTTTCAGTCTAGACGTGTGTCAATTTACTTATCTAAACGTACAATTGTAACCACAAATCAAGAAATCAAGGTCATTATAAAAATTTAAATGTTTGCTTAAATGAGTATTTGTGGCCCATAAAAAGCCACCATAAAACTTTACTAGTAATTATTAAAAAGTCTGGGAGAGAAAGCAAAACTCTCTGAATGGGGTGCTTTCTAGTTCATAGTTTTGTTTTCAGTTTTGCAAGAAACCAGCTATGCTATTTTAAATCAGCAAAGTGAACCGCCAAAGTGGATTGCTAAAATTTTTGTTAACTGCAATAGTTACTAGGCAAATCTTTCCTCCTTCATTTTGCTTTTGAATTACGAAGCATTTAAAATTTAGTCTTTATTTTATTTTTTAATATTCATTGAGATTTTGGAAAAATGAGATAGCAAATTAGGTTCCCCTGTAACAGTTTGCACACATATTGTTCAGTGATATTGGTTACACTTTTCACTGTGTATCGGCACTGTCATTATTTCCTTTCTGGTTGTTCTGTTTTCGTTTTTCTAGCTTCCTTGTTTTCCTCACTCCTACCCTGTCCTCCTCCCCCTTACCCTCTCATCTTTGGTGTATGATAAATGTTGATCACAAGGAGTCCTGGTGTGATACTGCCGGATAAACACTGGACTATCAACCCAAAGGTGGTGGTTGTTAAGTGCCATGGAGTTAATTCCGACCCATAGCAACCCTGTATAGGGTTTCCTAAGAGTGACTGGTGAGCTTGAACTGCCGACCTCAGGGTTCAAACCGTAGATGATTCAAACCCACCAGCTGCTCCTCTGGTTCAGAACCAACTCAACTGTACTTAAGCCTCATTTCATATTTATTTTAGAAAAAAATGCTGATGTAACATTTGTTTCAGTTTTGAACATATGTAGGCAGTATTTGTTGAGATCATTACCCTGGCTTGGAAAACTGTTTGAATGTGATCCTGAGCAAGTTAAAACCTGTAATTTTTTTTTTTCAGTTTCTTGTGAAAGGGAAACACAACTGGTTGCATACTTAAAATTAAGTGTTTTAAGATTCAAATATGGTGGGACTGTGAAAGTATTTCATAAACTGAAAGTCTACGATCTTTGTCAGTGTAACTATCTAACAGAAAGAAGAAACAAACCTGTGTTGGGTGAAGTACACCCAGAATGCTCTTTAGAATCAAAGATGGCAAGATTTCATTTCTCATACTTTGGACATGTGATCAGGAGGGACCAGTCCCAAAGAAGGAACATCATGCTTGGAAAAGTGGAGGATCAGCAAAAAAGAGGAAGATTCCCAAGGCGGTGCATTGACACAGAAGGAGCAACAATCGTCTCAAATGTAACAATTGTGAGGGTAACCCAGGATCAGGCAGTGTTGTATGGCTGTGAGTCAGAACTTACTCAATGGCACCTAATACAAAAACAATACAATGTAACAAATACCACAGGTGTGTGGCTCTGACAAACACACATTTCATTTCTCGTAGTCTGTTGATACTGCATTGTTAGGTGCTGTGGAGTTGATTCTGACTCAGCGACCTTATGTACAACAGGTTGAAATACTGCATGGGCCTGCGTCAGCCTTACATTTGTTCCGTGTGGGAGCCATCTGTTACTTTGCCAACACTGTGGCAATCCATCTCGTTGAGGGTCTTCCTCTTTTTTAAGGAACCTCTGCTTTACCAGACATGCTGTTCTTCTCCAGGGACTAGTCCCTTCTGATAAAACGTCCCTAAGTAAGTGAGGGGACACCTCACCATTCTAATTTCTAAGTAACAGCATGGCTGTTCTTCCAAGACAGATGTGTGTGTTCTCTGACAGTCCGTGGCAGACTCCATGTTGTTCATCAGCACCATCTTTCCAATACATGGATTCTTAGTCAGCCTTTCTTATTCATTGTCCAGCTTTTGCATGCATAACTGAAAATAACATGGCTTGGGCCCAATGCACCTTAGTCCTCAAAATGATGTATTTGCTTTTTCACACTTTCAAGAGGTCTTTTGCAGTAGATTTGTCCCAATACAATACATCGTTTGACTCTTGACTGTTGCTTTCATGGCATTGACCGGGGATCCGAATTAAAAGAAATTGTTGACAACTTCAGTCTTTGCTTTGCTCATCATGGTGTTGCTTACTGGCCCAGTTGTGAGGGTTTTTTCCTTAGAAGTGAAGTCAGTGAGACATCATCTCTTGTACGTTGGACATGTATGTTCTCAGAAGGAACGACTCCCTGGAAAAGGACATCATGGTTGGTAGAGTGGAAGGTCAGTGAATAAGAGGAAGATCCCAAACATGATGGATTGACACCGTGGCCACAGCCACAGTTAGGAGGTTGTTGAAGGACTGACTGGGCAGTGTTCTGTTCTGTTCATACTCGGGGGCTGTGAATCGGAACCACTTCGGCACCTAACAACAACATTTACATGTTTACCTGTACAGTCTCCTGCAATACAAAGTAAGCTTCATGAGTAGAAGCTTTTTTCTGTTTTGCTCACCAAGTGCTCGTGAAAACTTTGAGTTATGGAAAGAATGACAATGCCTCACCCTAGTGATGCCTAAAGCAATGTCCTACAATCACATCACAGTCCTTCTCCTCCACATACTCAGTTACTGCATTTCTCTCACCTGAAAAGCCCTCCAGCGTCTCCTCTATGTATCAGAACAAAGGACTTCTGACAGGCCCAACTCTCCCGCTTTTATCTTACTTAGTTTGGATAGTTACAAATTTTTAGCCTATTCCATATAAATTAGCCCCCGATGATTAGTAACCAATTCATTTTATTCACCGTTATTTTATTCTTGGACTCCTGGTGTGGGACTGTAGGATAAACACTGGACTGCTAACAATAAGGTCAGCAGTTCAAACTTACCAGCTGCTCCTTGGAACGTTATACGGGGTCGCTCTGAGTTGGAACCAACTCGATAACATTTAACAACAACATTATTCTTAGCTCCTCTTTGTTGTTGTCATTAAGTGCCATCAAGTTGGTTCCAACTCATAGCAACCCTGTATAGGGTTTCTGAGGAGCAGCTGGTAGGTTTGAACTGCCAACCTGTGGCTCAAATGGACCTTGCAATCCAGCGCATTGTTCTGCAGTGTGAGACAGGGAGCAGATTTTAAATTTATCCTATCCCACCCAACACATTGTACCATTCTTAATGCTCTATCATGTAACCATGTTTGAATGTAAATTTCATGAGAACAGAGATCTTTGTTTCAATGTCTCCCAAGTTTCTAAGATTAGAAGATAGTTGATGATCATTAAATCTATTTTTGATAAATTTCTTGATTCATTGCATGTTGTCTTCACTTTCTTCTGCATTCAGAGCTGCATTTTGCCTGTAGAATTCATTCCGAAAGTATGTTCCAAACCAGGAAAAAGTCTGCATACCAAATTTCAATCACTTCTTTAAAAAATGTCTCCAGGACTACAGATCACCTTACTCATATTCAGATGACACTGTAGACAACAAGTTAGGCGTAGGGGAAGATTCTGTTATGGACGCAGAAAGCCTCATGGTTCTCCCATTGCTGGTAGATTTGAGCTGCCAACCTTTTGGTTAACAGTGCAGTGTTGGTTGTCTGAAAATTCCTTCTCACTCAACTTTCTGTCCCAAACACGTACAACACAGATTCTGTCTGCTCAAAACATAGGCCTGGAAGGGATCCTGAGGAATTGTTCTTAAATTCAGGGTTTTAAGAATCAGAAAGTATGCCCAGAAAAATGTATGCACACCCACACTACATACAATTGTGCATAGGTCATCAAGGAATTAATTAATTGTTGTTGTTGTTAAGTTCCATTGAGTGGGTTCCAACTCACAGCAACCCTAAAAAGCATTTCCAAGGAGCAGTTGGAGGGTTTGAACCGCCAAACTTTTGGTCCAGTGTTACCCTACAGCACCACACCAGGAGGACTTCATAGGGTCCAGAAAATGACAAATGGTTAAAATCATTATAATAAATTGTTCATAGGGTCGCTATGAGTCAGAACCGACTCGACGGCACCTAACAACAACACGCTTTACAGGAGCAGATAACCAGGACATTTCAAAGATTATTGGTGTTGTTGTTAAGTGTCATTGCGTTGGTTCCAACTCACAGCAATCCAGTATAGGGCTTCCAAGGAGCGGCTGGTGAGTTTGAACCGCCAACCTTAT